AAAAGAGTATCTGGCAAACACAGCTTACTTTATAACTCCATTTTTAAAATATCTGAAAATATAACAGTGCCTGCTTATGAAACCCTGTATAAATATTAGAAGTTTTGTTTTGATCATCACACACACTTCTTTGCTGACAAAATTCTTTTCTCAAGGACATCTATCTAAAATTTTTGGAACATATCTTGCTAATGCTAGGGCATGTAAAATTTAAATAATTCTAGTTTTTGTAAATCATTCTAAATAATTTACACAATTTCAAAAAAGTCAGGTAGTATTCAGTAGGCTCTACTTAAAAAGAGTATAAAAGGCATTTTTGCTTGGATATAGATGTGATCAAAATAAAAACTGTTATTATATTTCTGACACTGTTATTGCAAGACAAGCCAAGTTATGACATTGACCTGGTTATTAATGCAGAATATGAGACATCAAGCCAAATAGGAGTTTCAGACTACATGTTTATAGTAACATGGTATAAAATGTGTTTGACCAAACCAAAACTATGTTTAAATTTAAGCCCACACTTCTTAATAACATTTTCATTAAAAGAAAGTATTTCTGTATCTAGGCCGGGTTCAGTGGCTCAGCCTGTAATCCCAGCACTTTGGGAGGCCGAGGCAAGAAGATTGCCTGAGCCCGCGGGTTCAAGACCAGCCCGGGCAACTTGGAGAGACCTCGTCTCTACAATAAATCAAAAATTAGCCAGGCGTGGCAGTGCACACCTGTAGTTCCGGCTACTTGAAAGGCTGAGGCAGAAGGATCACTGGAACCCAGCAGGTTGATGCTGGAGTGGCCGTGAGTGTACTACTGCATTCCAGCCTGGGCAACAAAGTGAGATTCCAACTCAAAAAAAGAAAAAGAAAAAGAAAAAAAGTATAGCTATACCTATATTGTTAGCCCTTTTGCTTTCTGAGCCAGATGATTAAAGTCTGACCTCAAAAGAGACCCCATAACAACGCAGTAATTCTTCATGCTTTTTCTGGACTTGGGCAACTTTCTTGCCTCAGGATCTAATTAGAGAACAGATGATGCCCCTGTGACTTATCATCAAATGTAGCTAGCACTTGTCTTGGAATTTTCAAGAAACTAGTTTTAAAAAAAGATACTAGTTAGAAGGTAGAACTAAGCACTTTTAAAAGCATAAGCATTTAAAGGCATGAGTAGTCCCTGGTGGTTTAGTGGTTAGGAAAAAAACTCCTAAAAACTAAAAACAACAAAAAAGCATGAGTAGGATTTTTACTATAATAGTTTATTTGCACTCAGTAAAGAAGGCCATGACTAAGAAGGCTTCAATTATCAGAAATCGGTGTCCTTCTCTATCTCAAGTAAAAAAAGAAAAATCAAATTAAAAAGTACATGACTCTAAAATATAAAAAGTTTAATGTGCAGCTGGCTTGGTGGCTCAGCCTGTAATCCCACGTTTTGGGAGGCTGAGGTGAGTGGATTGCCTGAGCCCGTGGGTTTGAGACCCACCTGGGCAATTTGGCGAGACCTCATCTCTACAATAAATCAAAAAATTAGCCAGGCATGGTAGTGTGCACCTGTATTTCCAGCTACTTTGAAGGCTGAGGCGGAAGGATCGCTGGAGCCCAGCAGGTTGGGAGTGTGCCCTGCACTCCAGCGTGGGCGACAGAGTGAGACTCCAACTCAAAAAAAAAACAAGTTTAATGTGGATTAAATGCTGGATTTAAAATATCCAGTACTTTACAGAATTGCTGACTATCCTATGATACAAATATTTACAACTTGACTGATTCTGAAGACCATCTTAGTATCAGTCCAAAAGTTACACAACTAGGAGCACGATAAGCTAAGTACTATACAATCAGTAACATAACTCTCACATTTAAAAGATACTAAATTCTAAAGGAAAAGCAAGAAAGCATTCAAAGCATTTAGTAAATCTCAAAAACCCCCGAAGTAAAAAATTTGACACAATGGACTTGAATCAACTGTAAACTTTGATTGCTAGTCTTCAAAAAGTATTGTTTTAGTACCTAATAATTTATAAGTTACTATTATTACAGAAATGTGATTTATTTCAAATAAAACAATAGTTAATTCATTTTTACAAGTATTTACTGAGAATCTACTACTATGGAAAAACAAAGATTAAAACACACATGAACTTTGCCCCTTAAGAGCCTAGAAGGGATAAGTTAAAATGCAAAGGTAGCTCAGAAAGGAAAACTTATCTGTGGCCAGGAAAATAAGTACAGATTAGGAAAGTCACTGATGAGTTTGAAGGACAGGCAGAATTCAGACAAAGAGTCTTTCCACTGGAAAAAGATGTTGGAAAAAAGAGAAAAGATGGAAAACCGTAAGGAAAAAAAAGTAACTGCAGAAATGGAAAAAAAAACTACAAAATATTAAATGATAATATAGAAGTTAGAGGTTAAAAGCTCTGGTAACAAATAACAAATCACTAATGAAAACATCTAATATTATACTGCACACTCCACTGATGCTCCATAAATACTTCTAAATTAGTAACTTAGGATCTCTTCTATTTGTACTTCCTGAAGGAATGAGATGGCGAAACGAGTTTTATTCATACTCAGAGTAAAGTAATTCTCTTCAAAAGATAAATTATGTTTCCAATTTTGAGTGTACACATGCAACGTTAGGCAAGGACAAGGACCCTCAATTTTCTTTCAGCTTGTATATGTACAAAACACATAAGTGATATTCAAGTTCATTTTTAAATCCACATAAGGCCTGGCACGGTGGTTCAGCCTGTAATTCCAGCATTTTGGGAGGTCGGGGCGAGAGGACTGCTTGAGACCAGCCTGGGCAACTTGACAATAAATCACAAAAACTAGCTGGGCATGGCGTGCATCTGTAGTTCCAGCTACTTGGAAGGCTGAAGCGGGATTGTCTGAGCCCAGCAGGTTGAGGCTGCAGTGGCCGTGAGCTTGCCACCACTGCACTCCAGCCTGTGCAACAAGAGTGAGATTCCAACTCAAAAAAAAAAAAAAAAAAATCAAATAAATAAATGAATAAATAAATTGACATAAAAACTGTGTCTTCCATTCCCAACTCTTCAGTACTGTACAGCCTGCTTTTGTGCTCCTGAAAAATAAAGGCCTTCCAGCTTTAAAATCCTAAACTGGATGAATTCTACACCATCTTTTCTACAGAAGTCACTGTGACAAGGCCAACTATAACAATAACAACAAAGGGTTTTCTTCCTTTTTCTTCCTTTAACCCACACATAGTAAAAACTATCCTTTATTGTATACCTACTAAGTGCACTTTTTTTTTGAGTTGGAGTCTCACTCTGTCGCCCCAGCTGGAGTGCAGTGGCACACTCACCGCCACCGCAGCCTCGACCTGCTGGACTCAGGTGATCCTTCTGCCTCAGCCTTCCAAGTAGCTGGAACCACAGGCACACGCCACCACGCTGGACTAATTTTTTAATTTATTGTAGAGACGAGGTCTTGCCAGGTTGCCCAGCCTGGTCTCAAACCCGCAGGCTGAGGCAATTCTCTCGCCTCCACTTCCCAAAGTGCTGGGATGACAGATGTGAGTCACCACGCCCCACCAAGTGCCTGCATTTTCTATTTCTTACTTCATGTGATCCTCATCACACCTTGAAGAGCAAGCATCCTGCTCACTCTCCTTAGAGGGTATTAGCTCCAAAGCAAGCTCTAACATATCACACCTTAAAATCCTACGCCTCAAACACTAATGCTAAGCAAAATAAACCAGAGCTGGTGAGGGGACTGCGACTATGGTCATCTGGAGAGAATAGGGTCCTCGAACAGGGGAGCTCAGGCTGCCCTGCAGCCAAATGAGAGGGGGTAGGAGAGGAGAGGGGAGGGGGAAGGTAATATCCTACTCTTCAAACAAATGAAACAGGTTCATCAACTTTCAACCTACGCTTTAACCAGTTCTTCACAGAGCTGTGCGGTTCATTTTGGGTTTTTTTTTTTTTTTTTGAGACAGGGTCTGCCCATGTCGCCCAAGCTGGTCTTAGAACTCCTGGGCTCAAGCAATCCTCCCGATTAGCTGGGATTACAGGCATGCACATCGTGCCTGGCTGCAGTCAATTTTAATAATATTACAGAAACTTCGAAAATTCTCAGAGAATTGAAACACAGCATCAGTAATAAGTCTAGGTTCCGAAGCAAGTTGTGCCTTGATTGAATCCTGGCGGGCAGCGTGACCTTGGTTAAGTTATTTCACCTCTCCAAGCCTCATAATGCGCCTGGTAGTGAATGAAAAGAAGAACGCAGACTACCACAGAGCTAGAGCTTGGCCAATGAAAGATGTTGCTCAGGATCTCAGCAACAATGGTATGTCTAGGAATACTGCCCCAAGTTTACCTTTAAAATGTCCTATTTGGTCACTTCGACGTAGACCTAAAATCATTCTCAAATAAAAAGTTTATTTTTTAAAATGTCATACACCCTCAGTTCCATTAGAGCCAAACTTCAAAATAAGTTTATCCTAAATCCCAAATCCCAGCAACTACCAAATCCTGTTTTTAGTAACTAGCAATTTAAAAGTAATAATAACGCTGCGAATCATGTCATTAGACGTTCGGGCAGAAAGTGGGAGATGTGTCCCCAAGGCGGTCTGAGCGCGAAAGTCTCTACCTGCCAAATGACAAGCACGGGGGCGGGTTCGAAAAGCGGGGTCTGAACTAGCAGCCCCCGGTAGGGCGGCCTCCTCCCAGCTGCCGGCGCCGGAGCAGGTGGCTTCGTGCCCCAAGGAAGATCGTGTCACTCTCGGCCGCCCGCGCCTGCCAACAGTCGGGCGCCCCCGGGTCGGCCTGCGAGGGCGGGCGAGTTCCGCGGTCGAGGCCCGACGGCCCGACTCTCCCCGCCCGGGCTCAAAGGCCTGCGGGGTGGGGGCCGAGCCGGGACACGAGAGAGAAACCCGGGGGCTTCAGGAGAGGAAAGGAGGCCGGGGGGAGGCGGCGTGCGGGAGGTGACTGAGCCCGAGTCCTAGCCCCCGGCCCGGCCCGGCCCGGAACCCCCCGCTGCTCTCACCGTCTCGGCTTCGGTGTGTTGGGGTCCGGCACTCTGACCCCCCATCACCCCGCGGAGGAAATTCATCTTGCCGTTAAGCCACCGGCCTCACCGGCCCCTTCCGGAAAGAAAGACAACAAC